TGGAGACAGGAAAACACAGAACCTGAATCTTCCCCTCTGTACACAGTCTTGCATCAGCTCCATTATTTTAACATGAAGGGTACAGCAGCTCTCACCTGAAGAAGCCGCCTCAAGCCACAGGAGCAGCTCTACATACAACAGAACTTAAGATTGTCCTCACCTACAAAAGCCTCTAAAAGCAGTCATAGCATGTAAGCGCTCTGATGAAGCACAAAACTAAGCAGTTTCTGTCAAGGTTTTGTTCCCCATCTTTGCTAGATTAAGTTATAATCAAGACCGGAGCAATGGGTCTTGTTAAGAGATTGAGAAGTTTTGAATTTGATTTACTTGACTACATGGCGTGTCTGTGGCTGCAACAATGCTGCGGTGGACGTGAATAAATAGACAATCCTACTGTGCAGCCTTAACAGCTTAAAGATTTTGACCAGAGCGTTTTATGGTTCTATTTAAACATGTCAAACAAGTCAAAATCTCACAATTAAAAACCTATAAATGGGATCAAATACGATTAGAGCAGGTATGGAAAGCCAAATGTGCCGCATATTTCATAAAATAAAAACTGTAAATATCTCCATTTGTAAATATAAACATTTAAATGTTACCAAAGATGCTTGCATTAAATAACCAAATGTTTTTTTTTATCCTTAGAAAATGCATATTTAACTTGATAAATTTTTCCCCCAGCTTTTATTGTCATAACACTGTCACAAGTACAGAGCAATGAAATTCATTCTCTGTATTTAACCCATCCCCTTGGGGAGCAGTGGGCTGCCATTGTGCGGCGCCCAGGGAGCAGTGTGGGTGAAGGGTCTTTGCTCAGGGAGCCAGAGTGGCAGTATGTGGGAATACACTACTTATAAAGTATGAACTGATGGCTCCCAACTCTTCAGTTCTGCCCAGGCCCAGCCAATGCTATCAGCTGGCCTGTAAATACCTATACTTGAAACATTAAATTCTCTTTTAATGTTTTTGTGACATGTTGCTCGTTCTTACCTCTCCACTCGGCGTAGTTTGACTTGATTTAAATCCTTCAGAACGTCCAGCATCGAAGGAATCTTCTTGTTTTCTACGTTTCCGTTTAGCCCCGAGTGCGACTGTGGCTGACCCTCATCAGATTTGTTGCTCCGACGCTCTCTGATCAGATCCATCACAGACGGTGTCTCGCTGGAGATTATGCAGAGGGGAGGAGGAGGAGGGGGAGGAGGAGGTGGCGGTGGTGGAGCCGAAGAAGGAGGAGCAGCAGCACGAGGTGTGGAGGAGAGAGCTGTGATTGCAGCAGGGGATGTGAAAGGTGAGCACAGAGCGTTCTGGGTCTCAGTCAGAGATGGAACATTCATTAAAATCTCTTTTTTTGAAAGGTTTGCAGAAAATGCTCCACTGTACCTGAAGATGGCGCTGCAGTAACAATCATGGCAATCTGAGCCTGCAGTTTAAGCAGCTCACTCTCCAGCTGTGTGATCTTCTGCAGGGCTTCAGGGTCAGCCGTCTGTGGCGCACACCCTCCTCTTCTTTGAGCTTGTCTGGGGTTTCTCATCAGCTCTTGACTCAAAGTGCCGTCTTTCTTTGGGGGTAAATGGTTCCTTAAAACGCCACACAATCAAATACAAATAGTGTTTGTTATGAGGGATTTTGATTAATATTCAAAGTTATTTCATTGATTGACTTTATTGGTCTCACAGTGGAGAAATTCACTGTGAGATCAATAAAGTCTGAAATAAAGAACTGAAAATACATAGTATCATTGTCAGTTTATCCTCTATAAAACTTCTCAGAAATAGAGTTAGAGGTTTACAGTGTCGACCCTAATTTAAAACCTTTAGATAACTTCCCTAACCTTTAAAATAAAACATATCCTTTACAATTCAACTGAAAAACTAATATGTAATGCAGGAATAGAACAAAAGGTAACCGATGATTTAGGACACTGCATAGGTAATAAAACCCTCATATAATACTTTATTCAAGACTGCGTTTTTAAGTCTTTACATCTTGTACTGGCACATTCTCCAATGCATTCCTCAAATTTATCAGACTGTCTGGACATCTATTGTCTGCAGCCACTTTTAAGTGACCCTGCAGATCTATCAAGTTCAGTTTTGCTACCTAGGCTATTTAATAACATGAACCTTCATCTAACAAAGTCCACCTTTTCTTCTGAAGGTGTTAAGTCATTTTCAAGCTGTAGCAGACACCAGGATGGTCTGAGTCAAATGGGGGCCCTTTTAATTTACCAGGGGCCAGAGTCCTGCACCGAGTCAGGTACCCGTTGGTATAAAACTTACATCTATAAAAAAATATATATATATTATTTCATAGGTGCGGGCCTGGGTATATATGAACAAAATGTGGGTAACATAGTTACAGTATGAGTCAATTTTTTTTATATTTTCTTATTTATTAACTCTACATCTTAAAAAATGCATTGATTCAAGAAAATCCAGAGAACAGTATGTTTTTGAAGCAATAAGGCAAACCTTTTTACTTCGGCCAATTTAGAGCTTTCAATCTGTGAGTGCAGCGTGGTCTGGATGTGAGCGAGAGGCAATGTTCTTTGCCTCTATTATTATAAATTGCTGTGTGTACATTTTGTGAACACGGTTCGGATTGCACTTTATCATTTACAGGTCCGGTTTTGAATCGGGACAATTGCAGGTAACGGATCGGGTTTCGGTTGTCTACGGGTGCAGGCAGATGCAGTTTTGAAAAATCAGACCCATGCAGGACTGTCAGTCTCTGCTTTCTGTCACCTTTGACCAAAAAACACACAAAATAAGAAAATGCATAAAAACAACAAATAGCCCCTAATCCTTTGTACCTGGTTCTGGCAAAGCTTTCGCCCTCGTAGTCTAACACCCACAGAACATCTGCAAATGTAGCAATAGGAGGTGTGTCTGCTTCATCCTCAATGTATCCATGGGGCTTATAAGTCAGCAGGGGGATCTAAGGACAGAAAAAAAAAAACATTCAAAGGACATAATGCAAGCATGGTATATCCTAAATACTGTAATCTAATTTACTTTCCAGTAAATACCAGGCTCTGTAGAGGTTGAAATGTTTTGACCTTCCAAAATTAGGCAAACACTTCATATGCAGCCTGAACTCCATTAGAGTTAAAGAAATAAGTGATCAGATACTTCAGCTCTACATTTTTTTTTTTACTGGATTAGCTAAATAAGGTACTATTAAAAAAATTCAATTATCTGAGGATGAATCTTTATGGCAGCCACAAAGCGCAGTTGTTTAGATTACCTGAAAATGGACACGTGGAGTTGGCTGCAGTGGGAGATTTGTCCCAATCATTCGCACAATGCTGCGATATTGACCACACAGCTGAGAGTCCCACACAGGAACGAGCTGCCATCGGATGAAACACAACCACAAATAACAAGAGGAAAAAAATTAAAAGGGATGAAGGAGGAGAGAGATTCAGTGCAGGCTGAGAAACATGTACTCATCTGGAACAGGGCTGCAGTGTCAGCATGCTTACCATTTCTGGAGCTACACCGAAGTACTCCAGGACCATACACAGCACATCCAGAATATCCTCTACTAAAGACATGGCAAGGACTTTTCCCTGCAGCAGCCGATGACTGCAAAGCTCCTGTTTCTGCTGACGGACTTATTTTGAGGCCAACATGAAGAGAAGTGAGATACTTTATACCTGAAACAACCAAATAGGAACACATCCTACTAAGCTTTGCAGATCCTCACAAGCTTCGGTGTAATTTCAAAAAGCAAAACATAGACCAAAAAAAACAAAAAACACCTTAAGGTACCGAGAAAAGACCAAAGTTAGCCAATAAATGGCCTGTTTGAAAGTGTTTGTACTGATATCGAATAACATAGGATAAGCGGGTTAATTTGCTATATGGGTATTTATGGGGTCCCATTTGCAATGTTAAGCAGTGAAAAATTAGGAGCAATATTTATGGTTATTTAGCATAGCTGATTCATTCATTTAGAAATAAATATTTAGTGTTTGAGCTAAATATTTAGTTTGCTAAATAAATGTTTATGTCCGAACTAAATATTTAGTTTACAAATAAAATGTTTGTTTTTTTTCTCAGATATTTAGCTGTAAATATTTAGTTATACATTTGGCTCCAAATTCGATTTTTACTTTGAAACTAAATATTTATTTGACAAACTAAATATTTAATTTGCAAATTAAATACTAAACAAAGTATGTTTTTTTTAATGAATGAATAAAATAGTGAAAAAAATGACTTGGAAAAAAAATATAATTCCTTATTCTTCTCTTAAAACACGATTAATAACCATAAATATTTCACAAATTTTTTGACTGCTTAACTTTACAAACTGCACTCCATAAATACTGAGGGGGGAAGCGTTTATAGGTTCTAGTAGGTTCTTAAAACTGCCTCAGTGAGACAGTGGAGAGGCTTTAAAGCTGGATGTAATGCAAACCATTTTAGATGTGTGTAATTTAAAATGATTTAAAACATTTCAAAACAGGAACACAGCCAACCTCGTTGTTACTCTACATGATACATGTGAATGCATCACAAACTGATGGCCACTTTCATTATATCCTTTCATATAATTCGTTAGTCAACGCTTTCAGTGTGTATCTCGGACCATCAGAGAGAGGAGGTAACATTAAAGCAATAAAAACCTGATCCTTGGAGCTCTGCAGTACCGCAGCATATGGGAAAAAGCTGCAGAGGTCATCAAAAGTTACCCAACAACGCTGCAGCAAAGATGTTTTATAGAAATAAAGCATATAAAACTTACCGTCTACTCTTCTTTTCAAAGGAGCCACATGTTAGTTGCCAGCCATCTATTCAATCTTTTAACCAAACTAACATGTAATATGTTCAGAAAGATAGCTTTAAGAATACCCGTTCTCACGCCTCTAGGCAGCACTTCCGTAAAGTCAAATAATGCCGCAGTAGCAAACTGCTTTCTTATTGGCTGCAGCTGCGGACGCTGACAAACATCCAATAGGAAAGAACTACTTACAAACGTTCAGAACGTTTGACAGCCAATAGAACGTCGCGAAAGAAGAGCTACAAAATTTGTATTTTTCTGCACGAGCTTCTTCCTCTCCTTGGTAAGAAAACATATTAAGGTACATTTTAAAACCTCTACGGTTCTTGAGGGAATTCTTTAATATAACGAGAAAAGCATATCAGTTTTCAAAGTTTGAAAAATGCAATCAAGCAAATAGAAATGTACTTAAAGTCGAGCAACTTAACGTGTCATAAGATAATAGCATTGTTAGCTTCCCATTATGAAACGCAGATGCTCGAAAGTTCAGTGCCTGTTCTTTTTTAACAAACAAAAATAAGTATTAAACTATTTTGTTCTTAATTAAATTAAACCTCCACAATAAAACTACTGCTTACTTAAGCAAACAAATCAGTTTAAACTTCACATCCACTCCGGGTTATCGTTTTAATGTTTCTTCCATTTTCAGGTCTGCTGAGTTTTCCAGTCATGATGGACGCCCTGTCGGTGGTGTGTCAGCTGCGGGATCTTGCGTCTGAACCGCAAAACCGAGCTGTGATCGTCCAAGACCAGGGTTGTCTTCCTGGACTAGTTCTCTTTCTGGACCACCAGAAACCAGAAGTGTTGCTTGCAACCTTGCAGGTAAACACATTTAGTAAAACTATCGATTCTCCACAAAAACGGCATTTTGTTTAGATTCTATGTCATGAACAAACAGAAACTGTGGAAATGAGACATTACTACATTGTTTAACAAAATCAACAATTCTCAAAAAGTGCTGATGGATTCAGGCCCCCTGACTCAATGGATTGTAGTTTCATCTCCGTTGCCCTGACAACGAGCCTTTTTCTGATGTGTTGATGCCACAATTGGAAATATGACAAATTAGAAAGAGGTTGATAATGGGGTTCATTACACAAAATTTTTTACAGCAAGTTGTAGGTTTGCAACTGGACTTTCTCCATTTTTGAATAATGTAAAATCACAGTTTGGTCCTTGAACTTTATCCTATAGTCTAATGACCCTTAACAGAACAGATGTTTCAAAATAAAAAACATGTAAAATATTTTGTGATTATATCATCGTGGTATCAAGCTGTGCAATATTAATATGGAATAAGTTCCCTGCATGCTGTCAACGTATTTGAAACTTTCATCTTACATGCAATACAAATTATAACAGGTTTTCCATGGGTCATTAAAAAAATCATTAAGTGATTATATTATTTGTTTGTAAATTAAGGCTGTAATTGACATTAAAATTCATTAAATGTGATTATCGTGGCATTTAAAACGCTTTATTTAGAAAAAGAAAATCGTTTATAAAAAGTATTTCGTCAGATATATCGGATATAACTGGTTCCCCGTGTTTGCGTGGAACTGCTTCTGGTTGATCGCAAAGCCGTATGTTCGGAAAAGAAGCTCGAGGCACAGAAAAGGCTAGAGAATGGGAAAATGCAAACTTCAACAAAAGTGACAGGCTGCAGCCCACGGATGGTAAAGGTGACGAAGGATTTTGTCATGTTTATATATATACACACACACATGAATATATATATATTTATGAATGAGTGTCATTGGTACTTGTTGATAGCATTGGAATTATTTCTAAGACCTTAAAAAGTGCATTTAAAAGCATTAGTTACTCATTCCAGTATAAACCCTGTATAGAACAGTCTCACTGTAGCAGATGCTCACACCAGACACAAATTACATTAAAATCACAGGGGTGATGGAGGCAATTCAATGTTTTTACTATAACGAACTAAAAATATTACACATCTTTGTCCTCAGACTCTTCGTTATCTGGCTGAATTACCTCCCAACGTACCCATTATGAAGAACGAGCTGGGTATGATGGTGAGCTTGGAAAATCTTATCCAAAGGTAGGAAAATTAGATACAGATAGTTTCATCGAGGTGGTACATGTATGCTGGCACATAAGGTAGAACCTGTTATAAGTGATCAAATAAATGTTATATGATTTAATTTATTCTTAGAGGGGATCTCTCTCTTGATATCACGGCTCTGGCTAAAGAGGTCTATGGCATTCTGAGGGAGCCTGTTAATCCAACACCACGCACACCGGAGAGGGAGAGAAGGAGGAAGCCTCAGTTCTTTATCAACTCCACCAACAAGAAGGCAAAATCTGTCACACTACACATCCAAGGGCTGGAAAGCACTGTAAGTTTACTAAAGTATTTTACGTTTACTAAGTATTGACCTCATTCATGCTGTTAAGCAACTCCTAGTTTACACATGCATTGTCTTTCTGCTTTCAAGCATCAAAGAAGCTTGTGTGAAGAGGCTCTGCTAAAAGTCAAAGGGGTGATCAGCTTCACTTTTCAAATGGCCTCTAAGAGATGTACAGTCCGTATCCGTTCAGACCTTCCCACTGAGGTAAAAAAAAAAAAAAAAAAAAATCTGGTTTCCATCTGGAAGTCAATCAAAAAGCCAGCCAGGAATTTTCATAAATAAAGAAATCTATTGTGTTTTTCCTTTCAGAGCCTGGCAACAGCTATCGCCTCCACTAACGTGTTGTCTGCTCAGCAAGTGGTGAAAAACGAAGCAGGAGAGGAGGTGAATAACATTCAACATGTTATTCACATTCAGATTTTTTTCACAAGTTCCTCCTGAGCATTTTAAAATATTTAATGCCCTCCTCTCCCTCTGTCATTTCCTAAGGTTTATATCCCTCTGAAATCAAGTGGCGTTCAGGTGCCGCAAAACTCCGCCCTCCCAGACTACCTCCCGGAGGAAGAGGAGAGCCCGGAGAGGGAGGTTGACAAAGCCATTTCCCGCACTGCAGCTAAAGAGGATTCCAGTGGGAGCTGGCTGAATGCCGCCGCAGGTTTCCTCACAAAAACCTTCTACTGGTGAAGCTCACATTTTGTTCAAAAGCTGTCCGGATAGACTCTTCAGCACAAGTTGGGAGGAGCTCACATGAGGGCTTTATGTCTGATAATCAGCAATATACAGATTCCACTGTGTATGTGTGTATATACGGGTTTGATGTCCAATATTGTTCAACCTGAACAAATCTAAACCTACCTGTTTCATTGCTGTTTTCTATCCCCAAATACTATATAAATGTACCGTCCTTCTTGTCTTTTCTGTTTATCCTTTACCTCCAAACATTCAAAGCTAAAGGTTTCTGTCATTCATTGAAATCTTAAGCATTCCTGCTGTTTGTAAGTAGTAAGTAAATATATAAATACTTGTATCGTTTGTGTGCATTGTTGTTTTTTTTGTACAGAGTAAAAAAAAAGCCCAGAAGAACCAGAGCAAATATTTAATTACTTCAAAGAAATTTATTTGCTCACAAATAGAGCTGTAATCATTTTTTTCACCTCAGTAATACAATGGTGTGAATAACTTTCTACCAACCAGTATACAGTTATTTAAATTAAGGGATTTCTTTGCTTACAAATCTTTGTCTTTAAGAAAATATCCACTTATATTTCACAAACCTATAGTTACCAGAACATTAACAGTCCAGCTGGAAGAAACCTGGGACAAGAACGTGTGAATGGTATTAGTGACGATGTAAACCCCAAAGATCAGGCTGCAAGGAGCTGGAGAAAGCAATGTATAAGTGGCTGCTTATAAAAAGGCCAGCATTTAATCTCTTCATATCTGCATCAACAGGAAGACCTTAGTTTGGCTGAAAATGCTAAAGCTCAGGAATGCATTTCTACAATTCAGTGCAGACATGGACAACTTCTACAGCTGCAATTTCAAAAAAAAAAAAAAACTCAATTAGCAGCATCCTTTCATAAAAAAAAGGATGAAATCAATATCGGTAAACTCTTCCTCCTTTTGAACTGGTTTGGGGGGGGACTCCTTTCAGCTTCTAACACAGCCTAATAAAAGGGAATAGCTAAATACTTCCAGTTTCACTGTAAAAAGTAAACCAACAGGTTTTTAACCCAAAGAAAATGTATTTTCCTAAATGAACAAAAAAGATGCAGGCAACTTAAAGAATCACATTTAATCTTTACAGCCATTAAAACTAAATGAAAATGAGGTTTTGCCCTATCCTTCTGTTGCCTGAGAAAACAGAATCCTAATGAAACTAAAGCTTGTAATACTCCATCACCCTGGTCTGTATCTGATAGCCCCTAATTTTAAACGCTGTTGACGAAATACATCGTTTTGCATGACACTCTCTCTTTATAACTTTGTGCTGTTATTCCATCAAATCTAAATCAACAACTGTGCAGTTTTGAACCTTTTTTTTTCCAGATATAAAGTCACATTACAGTTGCTGGAATTCAGATTAAATAACATTGAAAACAAGTTCAAGTATCACAGTTGGAGACTTTAAAGGTGACTCTGTTTACACTACAATATTTGTCCCTGCTTAGCCTCACTTGATAGAGCAGGAGGGTCAATGTTATCCTGTGATTTCAGGTTGTTAGAGAATCGAGGGGAGGAACTGGGGCCACATTTTCAAAAAGTTATGCCCAAGTGTCAGGGAAATTAGCTCTTTGTCTGATTTTCCAAAAGTAAAAAAAAAACACTTCTTTTTGGAAGGATGCCTTGTAGTTCTTTGGAGACACCAGTTCTCGGACATGGCTATGAATATATGGTGTTAGGAATCCTTGGTTTGGTTCAGTCCTCATAGCTCCATGATTCTCTGTTTCCTTCTCGGTTTCTCCCGTCTCTGTGGAGTCCTTGCATCGCACAGCAACATCAGGCCACATCTGCATTTTAAAAGGGCAAATAAAGAACAGCAAATTTGAAAATACAGTATAAATGACAATGTTTGGGAAGAAGTTTCATGTTTCTGGCCGTCACACCTTGACGATATAGCCAGCGTACGCCGACGTGCGAAAATTGAGGCTAAAACGGTAGTTGGATAAGTTAGGGGTAAGTTTTATATAAGTTATGAGCACGCTGGCACATGTTGATATACGAGAAATTCTGCATGCTCACGTATGCCAGCGTTTGCTCATAAGTGGTACAGGTAAGTTATGTGATAGTTAACACATTTTAATTTTAATTTACTCATAAGTCGTGTTGTCTAGCTTATTCACCCTGTATCATCCCAATCGTAGGGTGAGCGTGAAGGTGAGTGTGATGGATCCTCCCTGCGTTCACACCCGTGGCCACTACCAACAATTTAACTTAAAGACACTGAATCTGCTGCAACTGCAAACCTTTCTTTTTAGCTTTTATTTTTTTCGTGAGCGGTGAACAGTAGCTAAGTTATTACTGTGACTATGAAGCTGTGCTTTTTATGCTGGCCGGGCACCTCCGGTTGCATTGCTCCCCCCCCCCCCTCAGGACACTGGCTTGTGCATCCTTTCATGGGCATTATGCTAACCTGCGTTATGTATAAGTTAGGCTGTCGTTCGACATTAATTCTGGACTCATTATCAATACTCTATGTATATACCCAAAATTGAAACGATACATAGAAAGTTCAGCGTATGCCAGCGATTTAGAAGATTCTGGGACGTCTTGCATACACTGACTAAGTCGTCAAGGTGTGTGTGCACCGTTATCGGAAGCATCTCACTGGCTAAGTTATGCTGACACACAAATAGTGATATGCACTTGATATCAGTCTATGCCGACATGATCTGATCATAGCTACAGTTATATTGGATAATATCAACACAATCTTTTTGTAGGAAAACCATTTTTAAAACTGGTGATTTCTGCAGGAGTTTGTCTAATTCAGGTAGAAGAAATCTGCTCAGACTCTACAGGCATCAATGCTACATTTCTATAGTAACACTGCTTAGAGTAGAAAATGTGTCCCATCAAAACAACATTGTGGGAGTAAACATATCACCTGGTACTGACCTGGCCCTTGCTGGGCTGATATATCTTCTACTCCACTAAGAGGCTTTAGAGGACCGTTCTCCATGAAGGCTACGACAGACACTTTACTCTCCTCTACCACCTTCTCCTGCTGCTCCTCTCCTTCAGGAGGAGACAACCTGGAATGTGAAGGCAGGGTGATTTCCTCTTCAAAATCCCCGTTCTCCCTAACAAAAACACCAAAACGGAAGGAAAAAGGAGCAGAAATCAATATGACAGAAATGTTTTGGTGTGATGTATTAGTGCTGTTGAACTGTGTTTTTCCCACCACCTCTGGTCTGGGTGGCTCAGTGCAGTGGTGCTGGGCTGTGGGCTGAGGTTAGGCTCACTGTTGGATGTCTGAGGCACGGTGGCAGCAGGTGCTTCAGCAGAACCAGGAATCACTGATGAAACAAAAGATCAGGACAATCCTTCAAAAAACAATCGGAGACATTTTTGGGAGAAGAGAAGAATGGTATATGGAGTTACCTTCGCTGTCTCTGGTCCTGACTTTCTGGAAATCAGAATAAACATTTTTAAAAGATAAGTTTGTCGTCTTCCTTTTATAGCCAGTAGGCAGCTTTACCTTTTCAGATGTGTCCGAGCGTCTAGTTCTCTTCATGATCTCCTCCAAACGCTGTGCCGGATAAAACAAGATGCACAGAAAATGAAAACACGATTTCGATATGGATCATCAGTTCATGTTTGAGGATATCACCTTCTTTCTCTCCAGTCGTTCAGCCTCTTCTTTCTGAAAGTGCTTCTCTCTCTCCAGCCTCAATCGCTCCGCCTCCTCCCTCAATCGAGACTCCTCCTCCTCTTTCTAGAGCAAAACACAGGAAAGAATATTGGGATTTTATCTGTGCTCGCAAAATTCACGGTGACCTTGAGTATTTTGGGCACCAAAACCAGTAGCATTTGTATAAAAATCAGTTCGGTGACACAACAGGTGAGTCTAGAATTATTCATACCCCGTTAGGTTTAGATTTTACATTATTTTCATTCAACTCACAAAATTGTTTGATATAAAAAGTGACAAAGTCTTTTTTCAAAAGATAAGCTTCATAAAAGTAAGATGAGAATTAATTTTGAAGAATAGAAATGTTCATTTATCAAATAATGTCTTAAATAACAATTTGAGCACTTTTTTTTTACATTCAAGCTGTCATTGAACACCTCATGCTCACCAGCCATTAGCATGTTTCCACAGGTATTTCTGACAGTTTAACTTTTGCTATGAGCTCCAAGTCTTTGAGTCTGCAAGGTCTACCAGGCCATCAATATAAACTGTGAAAGAATACTTTAAAACTTTAAGGGGAATGACTAATTTAGGGTTTAACTGTACACCCAATGATCTAAATCTTACAATGCCCTCATATGACATTTATTACAATACAAAAAGCCCTTTGTGAAATAACCGACTTGGCTCCTTGGATGATCTCTGACAGTGAACGCATCATATTAGACCTCAAAGCGGATGGATTCCTTGCCTCTCCGGTCTTCTTCCAGATTTTGGGACCTTATTTTTTTTAAAGAAATACCGACTTGACTTTTTTTTTTTTTTTAAGTGACTTAAGCCTTTTTCCGAGGTGAGACGCTTCTTATCTCTGGTTCTAACCTGCCTCCACCCATCCTCACCACCTTCTACTGAGGCACCATAGAGAGTGTTCTGACCAGCTGTCTCACTGTGTGGGGTGGAGGCTGCAGCGCCTCAGACTGGAAGAAGGTGAGAAGAGTGGTAAGAACAGCAGAGAAGATCATCGGGGCTCCTCTTCCCTCCATTACAGACATTTCATCCCATCGCTGCCCCCTTAAGGGCTGGTTATACTCTCCGCAGCAGTGTATCGCAGTGAGCTTGTCGCAGATAATTTTAATTTATGCCCAATTTTGAAGTGCGGTCTGCCCTATGTTATTCCCTGGCACACCGCAAGAGGGACAATCACGAACTAGCTGTGGGTCTAGATACGGCCGAGGCGGTGAGGAAGTGGGGGCAAGTTTGTGCGAGAACATAGGAACATGAGGATGAAAAAGAGCATGGATCCAGGTGGAAAAAGGGTCAAAGCATTATAACGCACCTTGCTCTTCTAGCTGGTCAAACTTCACAAGTTGTTTTCAACAATGGTGTTCATACAAACAAAACAAGCCGGTATGGTACCAAACGGGAAACGCGCATAGTGTAGAGCGGATGTAGATTTGACCAATCAGAGGCCTTCTGTCTGCTGTCACCTATAATTTTGAAGAGGCGCACCAGAGTGCCTGTGGGAGGGCGGGGGCACATTTGCGTGCACCGTGATACACATGCAGACGACCTGGTTTCTGAGCATAAATCAGCCTTTACACCCCCACCATGGCCCGTTCTCCCTGCTGCTTTCTGGTAAGAGGATTTGCAGCATTTTCTGCAGTACCAGCAGGTTCTGTAACAGCTTTTTCCCCGCTGTCATCAGACTGCTGAATTGTTGAACTCTAAACTGGTCTCTGCATAACACTTGCAACATTATTTTGCTCCACCAACGTGGCTGAAACTTTTATAATTCTTTTAAATACAACACAACTCGTTCTGCTGCATTTTGCACCTTATTTATTTTTCACTGCACTGAACCTTTCCATATTAATTACCTTCTTTGGGGCGACAGTGGCGTTGGATGTAGGAGTTTGCCCTGAAATCGAAGGATTGAAGGTTCAAGCCCCGGCTCCGACTTTCAGTGTCGTCGTGTCCTTGGGCAAGTCACTTCATCTGCATTGTCTACTGATGGTGGTCAGAGGGCCCGGTGGCGCCAGTGTACGGCAGCCTCGCTTCTGTCAATGAGCCCCAGGGCAGCTGTGGCTACAATGTAGCTTGCCACCATCAGTGTGTGAGTGTGTGCGTGAATGGGTGAATGAATGTAATGTAATGTAATGTAAAGCACTTTGGTCATGTCTCCTGACTTGAAAAAGCGCTATAAAAGTACAGGCCATTCACCATTTACCTTTTGCACCATTATTTTTTAAACTGGTTTTCCTTTTCTCCAATACTGTTTACACAATGATAACTGCTGCACTTTAAATGGTAATTTTGATTTCACTGTTATAAGCTGCTCATTTCATCGTTGGAAGCTGAAAGCAATGTAATTTTGTTTTGTACACACTCTGTGTACACAAAATGACAAAGTTTGTCTAAGTCTAACTTAACACAGAAGCCACAGACTAACTGAAATCCATGCTGTGTGAATCTCCCTCCTAAATGGCCTCTTAAATTCATAACTCTTTTAAGACTGCAGTTTTTCCTGCTGCTTTAAAAAAAGAATGTTGTTTTACTTAACTTTCCATTGCTCTCTTTAGAAATCCCAGTTTGTGGCTTTCACTCAATATATTAAATTCAATGAAAAGTTGAAAAAAAATGTATTAAACCCAAATAGAAATAAAATAATTGTGACTCTACATCAAATATGTATTTCTCTTTAATTATATTAGTCAAACATGGACTTTTTCGATAGTATTCTATTTTGTTGAGATGTAACTTCATCAGCAAATTTGGCTCCTAAAAAAAATTTAAACATAAAACTAATCTAATGTGTTTGTGTTCTTTAACCTGTTTTCGGAGTCTCTCTGCCTCCTCTCTGTCCTTCTGAAGCTTCTCCTCCTCAGCCCTTCTGTCCTCCTCCTCCTCCTGCCTCTTCTTCTCCTCTGCCAGACGCTGGGCCTCCTCCTCTCTTTTTGCCCGCTCTTCAGCTTTACGGCGGGCTATCTCCTCCTTTGCTAATCTGAGCGACAATGAACCAGTATATGTTGATTAAAATTGACCTGCACTGTTAGTGCTGCAGATGTCCTAACAGAGCCTCCTTAGAGTACCTCGCCTGCTCCTCCTGTTGCCTCCGCTCCTCCTCCTCCCTCTCTCTCTGCTCCCGGGCCAGCCGTCGTTTTTCAGCCAGGATCCGACTTGCCTCTTCTGGATCTGTGGTACCAGCTGACAGTTTCTGAGCTGGAGGACTGTTTGTAGTCTCTGTTAAGAATCATAAAATAATTGCTAAACAACAAGCAAAGCGCCTCCATCATGCAGATAATAATGCATCTCATTCTGACTGACCGTTTACTCCAGCTGGTGTGCTTGAAATTTGCTCACTGGAGGGTTTGTTCTGACCCACTGGTTGGGGTCTGGGTTGAGAAGGACTTAAAATCTGCTCCTTCTCCTCTACTTCCTCTTTTGGTGCCGTTGGTGTTGACGGTTGGGAGTTCTCAGGTGTGATCCTGACAGGACGAAGGTTCCCAGGATCCTCTGAAATTGGAGACTTAACTAGCTTGGGGGTTGACGGGCGTCCTATCGCTTTCTGTGGAGGTCTGTGAACAAAGGAGAAATAAAAACATTTTGTAGCTGATGCGAAAATAAGGTCCGAGTTTCAAATGATCTTTTACCAGATAAAGACAAATTCCTGTACCTGCCAGCAGATGGCGGTGTTGTTTTGTTGGACTTCTTGCCTGAAGAAGCAATGGACTTGTTGGGGGGTAATGACAAAGTAGGAGCCAGAGGGAGGGAGAGGTTGCTCCAGGATTTTCTGACACTCTCCCGGTCCTTTTGCTTAAACAGATTTTTATTAAAAAAATAAACAATTTAGAAAATGCTTTTTTTATTCTTAAGATTTTTTTTTTCATTAAATTCTGTTAAATATATACCACCAAGCCAGTATTTCTTTTAAAAGCTTGTACGGTAAAGTATCTCTATACATCGTTTAAAGAAGAATCAAAGAGGCTGATTGGAAGTCTGCAGGAAATGCAAAGATTCACAGCCTAAATAGATGAATCTATTAGCAGGACAGATATCATTCATGGGCTCCACAAATCCTGGTTTTATTTATAGCTAAAAGAGAGCAGATCTTAGCAAAAATGACATCCCATTTACAAATTGCAGATGGCAGGAAAAAAGACAATTTTACTGTACATCCTGTGCATTATGCAGAGGAAAACAGACATTGTCTAATGATGAAACATGATGGAAGCAGGTTTTTCTTCTACAAGAACAGAAAGGGTAACCAACATATATCATGTGGAGAAACAATACTATGGTTCAGTAAAAAACTTTATGTCTTATTATTTGGCCAGGTCAAAGTCTTCACATTGATATAATATGTTATATTTACATAGTATTCTTTACCCCTAAATAATCTTCATTTGCCGATAAAGTAAATCAAGCACCACACCAATTACTGAAGTCATAATAATAGACCCTTGGGTTAGAGTTGGAAAAAATGCACCAACCATTCAAACTAAGGATGCTTTCAAAACTATAGGATACATTTCCCATTTAGTGCCATGTATGACAGGGGCACAAAATTGATATTTTTATAGGAGGAAAAAGAGGAATTCAGCTGTTCAGACTACCCTTAAAAAGTCGGATGTTGGTCACACATAAGCATAAAATGATCAGATTTAGGTGGCATTTGCCTGCAGCGTTAACAAAGCCCTGTAGCAACAATGGAAAAATCATCACTTAAAAATACTTTCCACTGAATATTACTGAACTTGAGCTACATTGTACAGAAATGGGGGAAGGTCAGTTTCTAGGTTTGTAGAAGTGGTAAAGAAGTAATCCCAGAAGATGTACAACTATAACTACTGTAACTATAATTTTACAATTGAAGTGTGTGGTTGGACCATGACAAAACATAACAAAAAACATGGCACTGTACACAAAGCTCTTCACTAAGATGAGAATTTTTGTCAGGTCTTCACTCTTCCCAGTTTTTCTGAACAGCAAAGAATCACTCTTAAAGTAGGACCCCTTGGCAGGACCTATTATGATAAGATAGGAGCTCTCTGATGGGACTGATAGTCTTTGTGACTATATGTGGGAAGATCAGGAAAGTTGATTTTTCTACTAATACAGTGAGGAAGGTGGAGAGCGATGGTTATCTTCAAAGCTCAATGTAAAGGCCTGAACACGTTGCTTGTGTATGATTTTTTAATCTCCAATCCGATTTTTTTCCATGTCACACTTACTGCATATAGAGAGGCTTTGACTGGAGTGGGCATATCTGCGCAGATTTTTTTTTCACATCTGTCTTCATGCTATACACAAACTAAAACAATTTCCCACATTTGACTTGAACAGATTGGGAAAAGCTATAAAATAAAATGGCACAGCTATAAATCAAAGCCCCATTTAATCAGATGAGAATATTTATTAGGGGTGTAAATCACATCCATCATGGCGATTCGATTCAGTATCAATTTCCTGACCCAACGATTCAATTACTTTCAATACTCAAGAATACACCCTGATACGATTCGATGCAATTAATTTTTTTTTTTTTTTTTTACACCTTACAGGCTAGACAATGTTTCAAATTTGAAATAAACAAATGAAAGCTGTAATGTCGTTATGCATTGTTTTTTTGAGAAACAACAGCAAATAACAGAAGTAGAAAAGTTGTACTCCACCTATTCCTATTAAAACCTCATTCACTGAAAATTAATGATTCCCCTGCGTTATAGATTCTGAAAGGCCTTGCATCAAAAAATACTGCACAAAATCAGTGCAATAAGTGCAATGCAATACCTCGGCTCCAGACGTCCCCGCCCCCTCCACAGACGCTCCGCTGTACCTCTCCCAAATTGTAGCTGACTGCAAACAGTGCCGCAGACAGGAGGCCGGCTTGTTTTGTTTTTAAATTGCGGAGGAAAACTCGTGAAGTTTGACCCGCTAGAAGAGCGAGGTGCGCGAGAACGCTAGGACCCTTTTTCCACCTGGATCTCCGCTCTTTTTGGCCCTTATGTCCATCCATCGTCGGACTAAACTCGCCCCCACTTCCTCACCACCTCAGCCGTATCTAGACCCACAGTGTGTAGCACAGACCACGCTTCAATATTGGGCATAAATCAAAAATGTCTGTGTCAAGCTTACTGTAACACATTGCTGTAAGAGTATAACCTGGAAGCGAGGTAGGAGGGCAAAATAGGTTTAGCGCCACCGCAGCACGGGAGGAGAATTATGTCCAGGAGCAAATGGATAAAAATAGACCTGAGGAAAAAAATAAATAAAAATGAATCGATACTCTTGCGGACGTATCGATGCATCGGATCGTCGGCTGTTGGATCGATGCAACGATACAAAACGATTATTATTTACACCCCTAATATTTATATTCCTATATTAAAAACACAGAAACTTTAGATCGATGTCTACGGAAAAGAAAAACAGCCAAAAGCGCCGTGGGACAGTTTATATGTTGACTGAGGCAGTGAGAGGTGATTCTCAGAGACAGATCTGGGAAGTTTATCAAGGTTTTTCTTTTTTCATAAAGTAGTGAGAGAAATAGCCCGCGCTTACCTGCTTTGTTTGCCCCTCATTATTTTAGGTTTATTGTGAGGCTCAAAGGATCACTATTATACTATATCTATTTTTTCTCCTCCTGAAGTATTTTTTTTGCGAAGACATTGATAAGCTGCACATTCTGTCCCTTGTTTTTTGCAAAGCTCAAAGACCTTGGGTCTATCTCAGTCGGACCTACGCACCCCCTTACGTAAAAATATGTCGGGTGTGATCATCCCCGTCGACTTTCAATGAGTCCAAGACAATTCTTTTTGTCAGATGGGATGCAAAATCGGATTTGGTGTTTTATGGCCTTAAGACCTGCATCAAAAACCACCTTGTTTGGGGTAGAAAGCCTCATAAATTATGCATTTAATCTCCTGTTAGGATGGTGTATGAATGGTTGGGATGGACATCGACGAATCAAAATGAAAAAGTAGAAAGAGGAGAAAAGCCTTTGTGGACATCTGTTATAAAACATGACTGGTTTTATACTCTATGCAATACAACCAAAAAAGTCCTGGTTTAAAAAATTACAATCTACGGTACCTTTAAATATGTTATAATTATGCAAACATTTGCACAAAAGTAAAAAAAATAATAATCAAGTTAAAGAAACATAATAGTACAGCACCTTATAAAGGAAACTTTTAGTAGCAAATTGAAAAAGTCTGACCACATAGGTTATTTGATCAATACTTTGGCACAAAGCATTCGTGGACAGCCATAAATCTGAGATGAGGAATTTTTATGCTTACTTCTTAGGCAACTCTTTGATGGTGAGAAATGTTCCCCTCCTACCTGCATGGTTCCCGTGGTTCTCCTCCGTGGGGCGGTGGAAGCAGGGGAAGCTTTCTCTCTGCTGAGGCTCCTATCCTGGCTTCGGCAGTGAGGGAGAGGCTGAGTCTGCAGGGCCTTGAAGGACATGGTGCCCATGGGGTGGCAGGAAACTGAGCGAGGACACATATGCATGGCTACAGTGATGATGCACAAGGTGGGAGGGAAGGTTTGGAGTTTTTAGGAGCGGGTATGGTGTGGGGATTTATGGGACACCAGAGGGGATTCGGTAAAAAGAACAAAAAGGCCAGAAACAGGAGGTAGTGAGAATGACGTTAGGTTAGTGGTACGAACAAAGTCATGCGTTCAGGGAGGTTAAACATGGGGTTGAAGGAACAAAAGATGATGTTTTGTAGTAAGAAAGAGCAGAAGAGAAAGAAGTTGTTAGTGCTACAGACTAGTTAAAGGGCTACATATTCACTGACAATATCCAACACAAGAAATGCCCTGAATATGGAAGTATAATTAGTTAAATATTCAATCTGGACAAGCTAGTTAGCATTACAGGTTATTCCTAATACCAATCACAGGAAATATGCATGAACTGCAACACAAACATAAGCAAGAAAGCACATTAAAACACTATGATCAATGTTAGAAGTAAGTGAAACAAGACAGGAATTTAGTTTGTGTGCAGATGATGATTTTAGGTCTTCTCCTAAACTACTCACGTACACACCATGTGGGCATCGCATAGCAATTACTAGTTACATGTGCAGATTAAGGACTGCAACTTGTTTGATAGTTTCTTTTTTGGAAATATTGATCCTCCCCTTAAAAAAATTAAACAGAAATGCCAACAACCACACTTTAATTTGTCGACAACATCTTTTAAGCTCGTTTTTTTATGTGACAACACACTGAATTCTTCCCCCAGCCTGTAAATGGTATCGCGTCGATTGCTGGTCATTTGTGTGCTTGTTCTTTATCCAAAATGTTTGATAAAGCTACCCACGGCTGAAGCCAAATAATCCAACATGTCTTGACATGTACTGCGAGGATCTCCAGTGCTCCACTCCAAAGGTGGGTAGTAGCTAGTAGTATTTATTCACTCACTTTTTCCTAAGTTAATTTGATTTAAAAAATTACCTTTAGGAGTAGTTGTACTTCATCATATCTTTTACTGAGTTACTGTACATCTTCATAAAATATTGTTCTTACTGGAGGGTAAAAACACTAAATAACAAACAAGCTTGCTTTAAAAGGCAGAGCTCCAGGCAACATGTCCCAAAAAAAAGGTATTCCATTTGTGTAGAAAAGCTTACTTTATATCTGGTGAACCTAGTGTTCTAATTTTTAAGATGATGTAAGGAGTAGATATTGTCACTGGAGCTACTTTTATACTTTGATTTTAAAAAGAAATACGGTTTGGAAAAGTGCTTCTTCTGCCATGATTTCTTATCTTACATTTATTTGTTTATAAATATATTTTTTATAGTTTTTAAACGTATTTAAAATGCAAATAACTTGTTGGTCTATCTTATTGTATAACTTTAAATAGTAAATCAAAGGTTATGAGAATACTCAGTACTTGAGTAGCAGTTTTAACTAACTTTTTTTATCCAAGTAATGTCTTAAATTTCTTTAAAGCTATAGAGGACGATCTTTTATTTCCAGGTGGATCATCTAAATAAGTAGTCCTCCTAATTGTCAATCATTCATATTGCCATCCTACGTGCTCTTCCAGTTAGCCATCTTTTTCTGTGCATGCGCACTTTCAGCCGTAAACATGTGGTGAGCTACGGTTTCAGACAGTCACTGAAGCTCACCTTTCTCACCGCGGTTCTTTGAAAATGGCCAAAGGTCATTAGAGAAAAAGTGTCTACAATGTGTATGAGAAGAAAAGAAAGGCTTCAGAAGATACAGATTTATCCCAGAATGCTTTGCGCAGAGGGCTCTCCTCACAAAGCATTATTGGATTTGCTTTCACAGCGGTCCGCTGTCGCCGTAGGCTGTCGATACCAGACAGTGGTGACTAATAACAAAGATGGCGCAGGCAACGCGAAGTGGACAAGGAGTTATATGACCGACAAGATGCAAAAAGCAGTGATCATCTGTCCGAACGGTCAGTTCACTATATAGTCCCCACTCTATATAGTGATCGAGGGATTTAGGGGTTAAAGCGGAGATTCGGACACAGTAGACTTGTATGAGCTGTGAGAATAGCAACTTTTAAACAGAGTGTGCACAAGGAGAAATGGGCTCATGCATGTTCTCACACGTGTTTAATAGGCGTTCCATCTCGGGAGAAGGTAAAGGGTTGGGCATGTGCATTTTTATTTTAAAGTGGAGAGGGCGGTTCTTTCAAAAATTCGCAAAAATCCTCCACTATTCCTTGAAATAGATTTGATACATTTGATAGATTTTAACATTCAACATATAATGAAAGATTTAGGTTATACCTTATAATTATAAACAAATTATTGGGATTTTTTTCTGATAGACCATAAAATGGCAGGACATAACTGAATTGAAATGACTTAAATTTACTTAATGAATCCCACTTTGCAGTATTTACAGATGAAAGTGTGTCTGGGGTTTAGTAAAACATTTGCCCATTCTTCTTCGCAAAATCGATAAGACCAGTCAAAGGATAAAGAGTGCGTAAATGTGGTTGGGACACATTAATTTGTTCTGGGTGCATGTTTGTATTTTCCATCCATCTAACAGATTTTTATTATAAGCTTTTACTGTATTTAGCCTTTTCCATCTTCATATAGGCTGTTAAAAAACAATTAATGCCATTACCCAAGTTTCACAGAGCCATAAATACCATTATTTATTGTCTGACATTCTTCCACATTTTGCTGTGGAAGAAGAAAGTGGGTATGAAAAGGTTTGTAAATAAACTGGGTCAATATTACTTAAATTAAAGAATAGAAGAAATTTTTATATTCAACTAAACTATGCATTAAAGAATGCTAATCATGTTTTTACATAAACTTTATATATCCTTAAACAATACCAATCTACCTTTTCTTTACAAATTAAGGTTAAAAAGTCAGAGCTTCTTTGGTAACAGAAGAAGACGACAGTCTGGTATCATTGGCTCAATTCTTCCTAAACAGCTTAGACACCGGGATATTGTCCTCCGCTTTATTGCATCTGGTTTCATTCATTAAGAGTTGGTGGAGACCCACAGTAAGCTTGGGATGCCTGATGCAGGCTTGTAAACGCAGTACTGGATAGTGTGATGATTTAAGTCCTGCAAAATCTTAATAAACTTCAAAACCCTACCAGTTAACCATCTATAGAAAAACTCTTTGGATCAAGATTTATGAAATTTACAAGAAAAAAATTCCAAATTAGGAAAACCCCTGAGTGAACAGCAGGGACTCCATGTTACCTGACTGGTCTCCAGACAAGCTCATGGCACTGCGGCTGCGGGCCAGGTAGGAGTGCGTTGGCTGCTGTAGGCGGTTCACCACGTTGCTCTCCCATGGCGTCAGCGGAAGGCGGCGGAGTCCTGAACACAGACGCATATAATACCTTAGCTTTGATTTAGCACGGCTAAAACTATTACCGACCTACTGATCAGCCCAAGCGGCCCAGCAAGCAGATTATAAACCATTAGCAGCACCAGTACATCAACTCTTTATTCCTCTGAGGTGAAAGGTGAAGAGAAGGTGAATTTAAACCATGTACACCTCATTGCATGCATTAAACTGGAAATGTTGGAGGAAGGAACACCCTGGAGTGAACGGCACACAAAGGCTAGATGCAGAAAGGAGAGGGATAACAGAATTCTGCAACAAAGATCAAAATGCAAACATCAAATAATAAAAAATAAAAAAAGGCCCAGGATTTTATGCAAGCTGTTTCAACACCTTACAAATTAGCCAATAGCTTACCAGGCTTACCCTTGAAAGTAAGTGATTTTTATTTTAATACAATTACTCATTTTGTTTCACTGTATCATTCAAAACATACAGTACAGTAATGGTTTGGTCCTTGTTTAGTCCTCTAAAAAAGTAATTGACCTCCAGATTTCTTCAGTTTGTGTTTGCATATTTCAATATACCAAATGAGTTTGATGTTACACAAAGATAACCTGAGTAAAGGCAAAATACAATTTATAGACGATTTTATTTATGTCCCGTTTGTCTCAATATCCCAACTGGAAATAGCTGAAGTATAATTAAGGACATTTGAAAATCTTTGCATTTATTATTTATTTAGTCATGAACTGTCGGTCAATTTCATGCAGCATAATTACATAACCTGACAGCTTGATATTTTTCCATTGGAACGTTTTGTGAGGAGTAGGATTCATTGCTGTATCAATAACAGCAAACTTGGTGGTACAGAAGCAAAACGACCTCCAGACCATCACACTATGTTTGGCTGTCTGATTCAAATGCTTCTGAAATTCTGTATAAGTTTTTATATCTTGTTTATACTTATTCACATTTATTATTGATGTTTTTTACTTATTTATCTTTACGCCACCGCAGTGCATCGGTATGTTTTCTAACTATGCATTTTTTTTCATGTACAGTAAATTCATTTGGTTTGCTACTGAAATGTGCTTTATAAATAAACTGTCTTCCCCTTTTGTGTTTTCTCTATATGAAGATAATGGTTCTCAGTCAGGCTACCGACTATGCAAAACCTTTTCAAAAAATGGGGCTCATTCGTTGTATATTCCCTTTTTTCTTCCGTTTTTTTAGTATTGCTTATTGTTCTTATGTTGTCATACAGTTGCTGTTTACTGTGAGTGTCGTCTAGATTCTACAAGTTACGCAGGTTAATATTGTTCACTTATCTTGATAAATCAATTCTAAATTAAATATTTTTCAATTTTACTCAGCTTATCTTTGATTGAGCATCAAGATGTTTCCTGATCTGAAATATGCAAAAGAGAAGTTATCTAATGGGATAAAAAAAAAAAAAAAAGCTTTCAATACCTTTGCAAGCAAAAGATAATATAGGCTGAAAACTGAAGGAATGAATCCTCAATTTACTGTGCAGTTTAACTAATTACACCAAAGTATTGTTTATTTTGTTTCTTGGTAAGGCAATATAGAATTAAAGCCAATTTAAAAGGTAAACTTTTTGTTAAGAAATTGTATTGTTCTCCCTAGACAGGATGCATAAGAGCATTCACACAAAACAAAAAGATTATTCTACATAAGAGTATTACAAAAGGCTTAGGTTGGAGTCAAAACCTGATGATTAAATGCACAATTAGAAGCATGTGGCCAATTCCACTAAATGGTGAACTGTTGTGAATTGTAATGCATTCATAACCAGCAAATACATCAGTTGGTAAGCAAAGGAATTTTGAACAAACACTTTCGTGTTTATTCACAGTTTTCAGCCTGTTATCTTTCCTGTGCTGGACATTGCATTAAAAGGAGCCAGAAGTGTCCTAAGTGAAACCTGGGTTTTTGTGCTGCGTGGTCTTCCCCTGATGTAGGCGGGGTTTGGAAAGAGCTTTGCTCATAACAGGGGTGGAAGTTGTTCTCATCTGTAAGCCTGTCAGCAACAAATAAACATCAAAAAATACATAACATCGTGGTGAGCTTGGCTTTAGGAAAAATAAAAACAATTGATTAACAGTTCAGGAAACCTTAGCTACGTTTATAGCCTTGGGAGACATTTTAATCACATCTATTTGTCCAAAACATATCACTCTACAGTAAAGAACCATATGGGATAAATTAAACCAGCTATGAAGACAATGTAATTGTGCTAAATTAATAAAATTTAACTTGCACCAAAGGAATTTCAGTTCCGGTTGACCAAACCAGCTCTGCCCTTTATCTACATTCATCTGCTGGAGCTCAGGGACCGCAATAGAAATCCTGACCAGTGCAATCCTACAAACCATATTTTTATGTATGACCCTCTATTCTAAAAGCAATAAAAATGAGAACATTCATCAAAATGGAAAGAAAATATAAGAAATCCCGTTTTCTTTCATTACCTCTGTCTGGTGAGTGCAGCAGGGTGGCAGAAGAGGAGGAGAGCCGCTTGGTAATGATGGGGTCCGTATGTTTGGATAAATTAACAGTGGAAACTGACCTTCTGTCAGCATCTAGAGTCAAAATGAAAAAATAAAATGTTGATAGCAAACATGAGGACTTGAAAGCTAGTAGTCTAATGGTTTCTACACCTTGGGTTAATTCTAAGTGGTAAAACTACCAACAGGTAGTAAAAATAAACAAATTAGTGCTAAACAAAACATTTCTGTCCTTGCCATACAACTTCAGACAACACCTGGAGGGCTGCTAACCAAATCCATCTGTCTACATGTGTACTACTGCTAGCACTCTATTCCTAGCTCTCTAACAGACAGAGAACAATAATATTCACAGTGGGACGTTAATCCATATCTGCGGTAGAAACTGAAAGCACTCTGCATGTGCTCCAGTCCAGCAAGGTCGAGTGGACAGAGGAAAGCAGACTCGACCAAACCTGAACCAAGACAGGAAGAGATCGGAGAGCAAAGAGCAGGTAGAGGGGTAAGAGAGAGGTGGAATTTGAGAACAAAAGAGAGAAAGAGAGGGAAAGGTGGAGAAGGGTGTGAGTAAGCAGTAACAACAGAAGGCAGCCAACCTGAAAAGTGCAAAAATAAACACTAAAGAACATGTCTGACGAGCTGGAATGATTTCATCCATAGTAGTCTACTGCCAGAGACACAAAATCAAACAATGTTCAAAGTTTTAAAAGGGAATTTCTGTGGGAGAGCTGGATGTGTTTGTATAGGGCCGGTGCAGGTGTGAGATGTGTCTCAGTACCGGCTGGTATGCTGGTAGTGTTGCTGTGCAGCACCCCTCCCCAGGACCAACGGTTTTGCTTTGGTCTGGTTTTTTGGCTCCTCTCCAGGGTGCGACGTATCACCGCCTCATGACGTGCCTTCAGTAAGAACAGGAGAAAATCCTCAGTGTGGCAACTTTTCACGCTTTGAGCATAATCTGTTTAGTGGCTGGCAGTGAAATATGTGTTATACTTTAAAAGTTAATATCTAGATGTATGGAGAGCACTATTTACATATCCAAATCCTTTAACCCATAGTCTATATAAAGGTGGCATTATTTTCAGCCTTGCAATCAATTAAGACCTTTTTTATAGCATTCATTTGGAGCTCCTTTTTGATCTTAACCTAATTTGTTTTCAGCGAATATACATAAAAGAGAAAGAAAGAAAGGAAACCCTCATGATGAGAGAGAAAAAGCAAATGACATGAAAGAAGGTATTTACTGGTTTTAACTTCATAAAAATCTGATGCTACATACAGCGGCCCCAGGGTAATTAGAACTCCCAGTGGTAATCCAAAATGTTTTAAAAACATTAAAATCTTAGAAAATACATTAAATGTTGTAGAACATGTAGTCAAAGTCAATAAGTTGTGAAGCCTTTCTTAGATGTTTACACTATCAAAAATATTCCACCTATTTTTAAAGGTTTATTTTGTTTTAATTTAATAAAAGATTCCCATTTTCTTTTTTTTTCTTTTTTTTTTTAGACAATTTTTACACAAACCTATTAAATATACCTCACATAATGGATACTGATTTGTATAATAAAGTTATTTATTTGAAAAACACAATCATCAGGTTTATGAATTTAGTATTAATAAAGTATACTTAATAGTATTACTACTGAGTGCATTTATTTCAGATAAATACAGTTTATTGTTTCAATTGCATAAAGGTAACCCTGATTATTATGCTATTCAGATAATGCATTTGAAATATATGAGCTTATTAGTATTAATTCTGAATAGGTATACTTTATTTATACTTCCCATATTGTATTTATATTTCCAAATTGCACCAATTTTCCATTTATAAATAAATGGGAATTGGTACAGTTTACAGTGAATGTTATTAATTTTGGAGGATAAAGGATTATTTTCTGCACTTGTCTTAATTCCATCTGAATACAGGCATTAAATAAATTAAACTTTTTTTTTTCCAATTAAGCAAGATCTGATGGGATTTCAAACAATATTTGATAACTTGGCAGATTTTCATACCCTATGACTCCTCAACAGTCACCACTGTTATTTTCTAATTCTTTTAAGAGGCTTTTCAGGCTTTAAAAGAAACAGAATGAAAAAAGACCAATGCATACTCGGTCCTCCTCCTGTTTCTGTCGTCGCTTCTCCTCCACGGCAGCCCGTCTTTTCTCCTCCTTTATTCGCTGCTCTTCCAGTTTTCTCCTCTTCTCCTCCAGCTGCTTCTCATAGTGCTGCCTGGCTCGCTCCTCTCTTGCCTGCCACTGGGCCTCTTTGGCAGCTGCGTAAATTAACACACAGACAAGTTGCAATTTGACATGCGTTTTTAAATTCCCATAGACACCCGTGCAAACAGGCATATGTGAGCGATGTGAAGGGTCAAATGCAAATCATGTGAGAATGAAACAAAGTAAATCCATGAGCTCCTTAGATGAAACCAGATCCTTTACTTACATATAAGTATATTTAGGATATATAACAAACAGCTTTTGACTTTTCAGCTTACTAAAACCTGCCCGATGGACTGCCACCTTATGTAAGGTGGAATCCATGGCAACTGGGTACCTTGGTTCACCCTGGACTTTATGTAACATCCAGGGAGGCCAGTACTTCACAGCTGCTGGCCAAGTTCAGCCACAAAATGTCAGGAGAGAAAACACAGGATCCACATTGGATTGCCTTAAACATCAATTTTCCTTTGGAAACCTTTAAAACACAAGAAGATAAAGAGTGCTCACCGTTCTGTTTTTCCCGCTCCTCTCTGCGCTCACGGGCCAGCCTCTGTCTCTCATCAATCTTGTTAAAGAGCAACGACTCTGAAGCAAAATTCACTGGTACTGTTAGCAAGTCTTCCCATTAAATGGAAAGAAAATAGCAGAAACTGTTAGATTTTTCCTGTCAGAAAAAAGCATTTAATTCACAATTTATTTACCTGTTTTGGCAGCATAACTACTTGTGTTTTTGGAGGTTGCACGGTTAGGAATTGGAGTGGGTATTGGTGTCCCAGTGTGGGAGTAGTTTTGCCCAAATGCTGAAGAGACGGTACCATCCTCTGACTTGTACTGGGAGAAGGATGCTAGAAGGAAACACAACAGAGCAGCATAAAACATGGAGGAAAGTGGAAAAAAGTAGATTAAAACTGAAAACTGTTTCAGGATCCGTCATGCAGAAAGGTCCTGACCACAAGAGGCTGTACAACTTTTTCCTCCAAATTCCACATACTTCCAACAGGATGGTGTTTTTTTAGTAGACACTGGATTGTCACTTTAATAATTACATCCTTTTTTTTATGCCAATACATTTCAAAAATAAAAAAAATTTAAACTTTTCTAGCCTGGATCTACGGTATCATAAGATAAAAATCTGATATAAACCGTTTAAAATGAATGAATAAAACTTTTACTGGATTTTCATTGGTTCCTAAAGTGATGTGTAGTTATGAATCAGAACATTTTGTCTCGATTGGCCAATACCAGCAGGGATGGCCTTACACAGGCTGATTATTTGCTCCAACTCAACATCTTTTTTTAAAACAAAAGTAAAAGAAGCACAAATGCTGTATGTTCAACTGAATTAGATGTATTTTTTTTCAGCAGTTAGAACACTGTGTCAAAGAACAGAGAGAAACCGTAGAACAAAAGCCTTGAACCATAACTGCATCTCTTCAGTGGCACTAAAGGCACTGAAGTCATGTTACTAGATAAGTGATTTTATCTTAGAATGTACCAAAAAAATAAAATATTTGCATTCCTATTTAAAAAATGAGATGATAATGATATAATTTCCTGATGTATTACAGTTAATAACGAGTGCTTTCTGTGTAAATGCTTCTCAATGACTAACCGCAGGAATATCAAATCTCTTTATTTGTTCGTTAATTTCATTTAAACATTGTCATTTTTCCTAAACAGTGTACATTTCCTTTAAATAATGGGGTCCGTCTGACCTCATCAAATTGTAGCCCGTACCTCCTGTTACTAGCTCCTATTCTTTAACTTTTGGCTGATCAACAGTCAGCACACTACCATTAGTAAAGAAACTCCAGACTGATCTATTAATTGTAAATCATGCTTGGTAAATTGGGAGCTTAACACCTCCACTTTAAGGCCTAGGGTGAGAAAATGTTTTAAAATGTAACCAAAAATTGTGCGATTCTGCAATTTGGGAATTGCCATATTTAATAAATTGCCAGTATATAGATGTTGTCAGTCATTTTTTAGTTGTGGAACTAGACAATAAAATGAACAAGAAAGTGTTGGTTGGTTTTATGTTCTGGTTGTCTCTAAATTGGCCTGTTATGCGATGGATGGATGGATGGATGGATGGATGGATGGATGGATGGATGGATGGATGGATGGATGGATGGATGGATGGATGGNTCTAAATTGGCCTGTTATGCGATGGATGGATGGATTGATGGATGGATGGATGGATGGATGGATGGATGGATGGATGGATGGATGGATGGATGGATGGATGGATGGATGGATGTGAAGTTCAAAAATCAATTTAAGATTACAGTGAGAAATACAGTATTTTTTCACTAATGCAGCAATATCTACATGTTATTGATGATGTAAATGACTGGAAAGAAAGGCAACCATTGCAATTTTTTACATCCTTGCAGCTGTTTTTCTTTTTTTGCTTTATTCTATAAATTTATCAGCGAAAAATAAAAATCATCCTGAAATAAACCTGACTTTATTTGTCAAAAAAGGATTGCCCCTAAACCTAAAAACTGGTTCACCTCTTTCTGAATAACTGCCAGACAAAGGCACTGGGATTATGTATAAATATTACTAAAGGAATTTGACAGAAATATTTTAGAAGGAGGAAAAACCACAATCCAACAGCTTCCACTAATTCTGACTCAAATGAAAGACTACAACATTATCAGCCTATCTTTTCAGGAACATGACGGCTTGTTAAGTAATTACACATAACACAAGTGGAAGGGGAGCAAAGTTCAGATCTCATATCTGACTCCACCAGTGGCAGATCTCTAATGTTTGACAAAGTTTCTCTGAGCTCCTGATCTATTCCCTTGTTCCTGGATAATGTCATACATCCAAAACAAAGACTGTAAAGTGGCTAAATATACTTGAAATCAGTTTCTTGTAGATAAAGTGAGACACATAACAGTTGAATTACTGATTGGTTTTAAAAATTACTTAAACATTACTAGACAGGAGAATCACCCTTCTTATATGAAATATTGTTCTTCCTTTCTTTAACCAGTTTTAACATCTAATAGAACTGCTTGTTTCATTGTATTTAAAAATGTTATCTTAGCTTTTTTATTAGTTTTAATAATATTTTTAACCTATACTAATATATGTTTTTATAATATTTAAATTTCTAATTGTATTAGCATGGTCTACTTAATAGTTTAAGCAGTACTGGTTCCTACCATGCTGTCACATCTATTTATTACTTTTCTGCTTTTGAAGTTGTTATAATTTCTTGCTTTTTAGGTAGTAAAAAAAACAAATAAATGAAGCTAAACTAAACTAAAAGCTATAAACCAAACATTGCTGGCTCCGCCCCACAATAAGGCTTATTGTTTTACAATGACTTACAACCAGAATGGAAAAAAAGAAAAAGACATGAGGTCATAGTTGTCAGGGTATTGTATGTCACTGTCTATGGGGCAGCTGCAGAGGTGTGTACACAAGCGCTTACAGGTCTGCACTTCCTCGGGTGGATGTGGTCTTAATGACTATTGTTGCAACAAGAAAAGCAGCACCAGGACTTGAAAATCATTTTTCCTTAAATAAAAGATCTGTTTAAACAGGAAAGGATCATTTCCCACAGTGCAATATTTGACTTCCATCCATGTAATGTCATCTATCTTGACTTGAGATTAAAAAATTGCTTTATGCTTAATGATTAATAATTAAGTGTACATAATCACATATCTGAGGGCAATTCCAAGTCTGATATAAAAAAAAAAAAAAAACACAGCAAACCACCCTAGTTTTATGGATTTCCAGAGCTTTGATTAAACATTGTTCGGTGCCCTATTCAAATGCATTCCCTTCTTCTCTAGGAAAGGCCTGAGCCAGATAGGATAAAAATGTTTCAGCTGATTCAGCTCTTCCATAGAAGCCTTCTATTTATAGAAAATATATTAAATATATTCCTATATAGCTTTCATTATGAAATCTGTAAAACCCTTAAACGATTGGGCATTTTCATAGTTCAAAGGGTTGTAAAAAGCTTTTTTTTGTTTTAATTAATAAAAAAACTGTGCTCCTTAAGCTTTGTTTTCACCAGGGATGACACATTCTTTGTTAGACCCCTAAACTTCATTGGATAATAATTTTTACAAGACAAAAACTAGTACTAAGTTTTCCAGGCAGGCACTTGAATACAATATGATGTATGTATTAAGGCGGAGGTCTTCAACAGGTTACATTTGATGAAACTTTTATTTTATATTCCACCTGAAATTTTATCCACTAATTGAAATGTCTTTAAACACACATTAACATGAATTCAACACACTGTAATTAACAGATAAATGGAGGCAGTACAGTAGATGTCTTTCAATCATCAATGCACACATTCAACAACACACAGGAGCCCTTTCAAGTTGGGCGCCGTTTCATTCACAGCACCTGTCCCATCAACCAGGAATCAGAATCAGAAATACTTTAATAATCCCAGGGTGAAATTACTTTTGTTGCATTACTCCATATGTGGTAGAGTGACTATAGGACCAGTTTGATATAACACAATTGCATGTTATATTATATATATATATATATATATATATATATATATATATATATATATATATATATATTTAGGGGTCCCTGCTCCATCTTGCAATCAGTTTAGGGGTCCTTGGTGTGGAAAACATTAAAGAGCCCTGTATTAAGGTATTTAGGTTTGGAAAAGTCAGTCCCAATCTAATAGTTTCAACAGGATTAGGAAGCCCAAAAAAAAAAAAAAGAAAGAAAAAAAAATTCCGTTTGATGAGCGAACGCACCAAGAAGTTAAAGACTGCCGCACATATATTAAAAATCATGTTTGGTGCAGCATGCAGAACAGGATGCTCAGCTTTGTTAGGTGCAATGCACTCAACTTATCAAGGTGCATACCAACTCTGCTGTTGCAAACAGATTCACATACATAACTTCGGGAAGAGGCGTAAAGCTTCCCATCGGATGGATGGATGGATGGATGGATGGATGGATGGATGGATGGATGGATGGATGGATGGATGGATGGATGGATGGATGGATGGAGAGTGGGACAAAATAAATTATAAATTCAAAAATTTAATTTCACCTTTTCAGATGTTTCAGGCATAAACTTTTGTAGTTCATAAAGCACATCAGTTCTATTTCCCGCCTGTCTAGATAGTGAGGGGATATCAGGTTTTCCCTCTTTGACTCATTACCCCCTGAAACCCGATTTCTGATAAACAGAAGGCAATTGATAAATAAGAGCCAAGATGTTCCCCTTTGCCATTTGAAACACACAAAAAAACATAGTTATGGTTAAAAAAAAAAGTGTATTTAGAAGTAATCATTGACCCCTATTGTTTCAACTGATCACCCATCTGTTGCATAGGACATTAAGTCAACAAATGTCAGATAGCCTGAATTATATTTGCTTGTCCATACTGGCCAGCTGTTTAACAGCATTCGCAAACATAGTAAATGTCCAACACAGGCTCATTGTACCTACTAACAATAAAGGCTATAACTAGGTTTACCTGTCATTGCTGCCCTTAAACTTTGAACATTAAAAAAATATCTAAAATAATTCAGCTATTTCGGTTATGCAATGAACTACATTACACAACACAATGGAGAAAGGGCTTTTTTAGAACTCCGGGTACTGAGCAGAAAGACCTGGATTTAATCACACTATTTTTTAGATGTCTAAACTGACAATTTAAGTTAACTAAACACCACATTTCAAGATTTCTTTCAAGAAAATTATATTCGGTTGCTGTATCCTCAGCTGTATTTGTTTTGTCTTGTAAAAATCAACTAAGTTGGTCAAACCTCCCATCGGTCTATCATTTCATATTAAAATGTACCTGAACATCATCTCACTACGACCAAACAGTATTTGTATGTAGAAGAAATACATGTCTTTCTTTAATTGAGGTACAAGGTTTACTTTCCCCCACAAGCCCTGAAATTTGATATTGTAAATTATGTAAAAACACAAAATTTTATAAGGATATTGATTTTCTTTAAGGACTAAAATCATAATATGGAGAAAAACATGTTTGCATTTTTGTAGTTCCGATCATACTATAACCCAACCTTATCCTAAAGAGCATGCCTTTAATACCTCTTTTCCACATTTCTTTTTTTCAATATAAAAATGCAAGGTAAATTATTTAACCTAGACCCTCCGGAGTGGCCAAACAACAAAGATTTACCTGAGCTGTTCATAATTTTAGATGTGTCAATCGAAGCGAGGGATCTGTGACCCTGAATGGGCAGTCCACTCCAGCTAGATGAATCAAAGGGCCGAGAGCTGGGTTCCTACTTCCTGAAAACATTCTTCATGGCTGAATTTGGGCTAAAATAAGGATCCCAAACTCCAGGTAGAAGCCAAAATAAAAACAATCCCATCCCACTCTTTATTTAGAATGAAAAATGAGCGAGGTCAGTTGGTGTCATGGCTGCTGACTCCTAGGTCCAAGTCCTTTTGTCCCAGTGTGCATCTGTGCATGTGTTTATGCATTTTGCATGGGAATGTATGACAGAGAGATATAAGTGAGTGTGACTGTTTAATCTGCCCCTCCCTCCTCTTGCTCTCTGTGTCTGCTTCTCTACACGGCCTCCCCGCCCCCAGTCTATCTGCATTTATCGCCGGTCAGATTAAACGGTCAGAGTTGGCGATTAATGCTCTGCCGTCCAGGCCAGTGGGTAACAGGCAGACACAGTGTGCAGCTCCTTCCTTCCCTGAAGCCTGAGAGGATTAGCTGTTGCTAATGCTAAGCCAAACTATAACCTCCAACCAACAGAGAGGCAAAGGGGGCAGGGTTGGAAGCATTCCTTTATAGATCTAGGATGGGCTTTCAGGTTTGGATGAAAGGTGGAAGAATAGGGACTTTTATGTTTGTTTCCGTGTGCAGACATATTTCAGCTCGATTGGAAGAAAAAATGCTGGGGTCGCACATAAAGCAACAATCCTGCTGAAATGTCGTTATCCTATCTTTGTTATAGAACATCTCAGATATTACTACTTAATAAGGGACAGTATTATATTTGGTGGTACAGGGAGCACAGCCACTTTGGAAACATATACAAATTTTGTGACACTAAACGTACAGGTCACGTTAAAGGTATAGTGGATGCTCCTTTTCCAGGTGCATCATCAAAATAAGTGGTCCTCCTATTTGTCAATCATTCTGGTGATATGTTTACATAAGGCTGTCCTACGTGCTGGTCCCCATTTTCACTTAAGTGGTAAGTCTGACATAGTGGGAAAAATTGCAAATCTTCGTTTGGAAAGCAAGCTTGTATAAGGGATGCAAACAGCAACTTTTAAACAGAGCATGAACGAGGAGAAATAGGCTTGTGTATGCTTTCACACACGTTTAAGTGGCGTTCCATCTCGGGAGCGGGTAAAGGGTTGTGCATGTGTTTTTTGTTGTTGTTTTTTTTTTTTTTAAGTGGAGAGGGCAGGTCTTTCAAAAATTGCTGAAAATCCTCCACTATACCTTTAAATAAATTTAATACAGGCTGAGCAGGTTTAACCTTCAATATATAATGAAAGATTTAGGTTATACCTTATAATCATAAACATCTTATTGAGATTTTTTTTCTGATATACCACAAAATTGCAGGACATAACTGAATTGAAATGACATAAATTCACTTTTATGAATCCCACTTTGCAGCATTTACAAATGAAAGTGTGTTGGGGGTTCACTAAAAGGTTTGCCAATTCTTGTTCGCGAAATCGACAAGACCAGTAAAAGGATGGAGAGTGAGTAAAAAGCAATTTTAACATTTTCCTGTTCACTTTCAAGTGAATTCACATCTGGAAAATGGTTGGGACACATGAATTTGTTCTGGGTGCATGTTTACATTTTCCATCCATCTAACAGATTTTTAAAATAAGCTTTCACTGTATTTAGCCTTTTATATCTTCATATAGACTGTTAAGAAAGCAAACAATGCCATTACCAAAAGTTTCACAGAAGCAATACATTTCTGTGGAAGAAGAAAGTGGGTATGAAAAGGTTTATAAATAAACTGAATCAATATTACTCAAAGAAGAGATGAGTGAACTTTTGCTAATTTCAGTGCAACGATTCACAGCCATCTCTACAGAGTTCATTCCCCTTATTTTTATCCATTATTGAAGGTTCAAGTGAGTTGCTTCATAAGAAAACTGCAATAACTTATATTCAAATTAGTCATGCACAACTGAAGGTATGGCTACAGAGAGACTATTCAGAGCTTAAAAGGATCCCACATTAAAGCAAATAATCTACAGTATATAAGTGCAGAAGACAAAGAATATAAAATTAAGTTAAATATTTCACATGTAGAAGGCATCCTTTCTTAGCAGTTACAGCATTTGATACAGTCTGGTTTTAGACTTATAAAACATCAAAGTCTCTAAATAAATCATTCTTCCTTGTTTTCTTTGTGTTTCAGTCTCCTAGCTGCCATCTGACCGCAAGTTTCCACAGAAACAGGTAAAAGCTGTCGATCTAGCTTCCTCCTAAAAAGTAACACTTAAGCTTTGAAGACCAGCCAAGTTTAAAGGGAAAGTCCCAGCACTGCATATTTCTTACGGCTACGACTGCATTCCCATGCTGACGTGTTGATAGACCTCTGAGCTTACCAATGTGTTATAGCCACATACGCAAGTGAAGCGCAGTGCACCTTCGCTCTCATCTCTGCCGTCCTTGTCTGGACCTAATCTTGCATCCTCAGCTGAATTTTTTTTCTTGCACAAACAAAACTGTCCATTATCCCAGGCCCTGTGCAACAAATGTGTCTGCAAAGTGCAGGATGAACCAAGCCATGCTGAGCGATAAAACACAGTGCAACATCTTCATTTTAAGTACAAATATAAAACAAGAAAAAAAAAGTCCAGAAAACTTTGATGCGTTAATTTTCCGACCCCCTGCAGCCCTGACTCTCTAGAGAAGCTTGAATTTCCTCTGTTTAATTATAAACTCTCTGTCCTAGATAATGACCCTAATTTAGGTACATTTATGCACAACCAAACTTGCCTCATGACACAAAACAGCCTTCAGCCTCATTTCCTTCATACCTTGTTTCTTCCTCCTGCCAGCCTGCCTGTGTCTCTGTACCTCCTCTTCCTCAGTGATGGTAAACAGTGGTTGTATCGTCAGCCGACTGCTTCTCTTCCTCAGCCTCCACTTGTCTCTGGATGAGCCACTTCCTCCGCCTCCTCCTGCTGCTTTCCTATCCGGCATTGCCTGCCCTGTTGCAGCAGCTGGTGCCTCGGGGCTAACTCACCCGAGCCCTGCCCATCCCACCCCACCCAAAGTTGCTAAGGAATTGTGGCAGAGGAGTGTGGAGGTCAGAGTCACCCCTTAAAAGGTATCCTCTTCAGGATGATGTAGGCATTATACAGGTAAATACAAACATCGATGCTCATCGGGGTACCTTAAAGCTAAAAGGCAAATAAGAGGATAGACTAAAAGGTGAAAATGTTGAGGAAAGCCAAAGAAAGGCAAAAATGATGAGTCAAGAATAAGCCCAGTGCAGTGCGGATGAAGGAGTCGGAAGCAGGAGACAAACGGAGCGCTGTACCAGTGAGCCTGGCACAGAGAGAGAGTGAGGATGAGGATGAGGATGAGCACTCCTGGTGTGGCTTAGAGGAGAAAACTTAATCCACATGATGGAGGTCCTTAAGAAACACACAACTGACTCCTGCACTCTTCAATAGGTTGCTGCCTCTGCTCTCTTAGCTTTCCCCCCACTCCACCCCCCCACTGGTTAGGTCTAATGTACACATTTGTAAGGAAAATTACATCACAGAGCATTTCTTCTACTGTAAGAAGATGCAAACCCAGGAAAGAGGGGGATAAAAAGGGGTCAGGAGAATTAATAAAATATTTAGGGCAGATCCGGTAGTGGAAGATGAGCCTGTTCAACGTAATGGGTTTCCCTGACAACAGCAGCACGTGGACCGGTGACACAGTGCAGGAGTAGTAGTGAGACAGGTAGACAGTGTAGCAATGAATGCAGTTTCTGATGCTACAACTTCAAAGCACTGGAGACATTTCTTTGGAAGGAGTCCAGAGAGCACATGGTTCATGGCTCCACCCACGTCTTTCATTTAAAGAGAAAACAAGTTAGTTCACTACAACAGAAAACAGCCATGAGTTGGTTCCTGCTAGATAGCTATGCAGTTTGTGTAAATTCACACTATTCAAAGACACGTGTTGGTCCAACCTTTTGAGAGATTTACAGAAAAAAAAAAAATTGTATACAAGGCTTTGTCTATATAAGACTCAAACTCACTGCAGATCCAGACATTTGAATTGAGAAAGCTTCCTGGAGAGGTGGCGAAACGTCTTCAAATCTTGGAAACCAAGTCCAGAGGATATTTTTGGAACTTTTACTGAAACACCATGAATATGTTGCGGCCTTAAAACAGCTGAATGAAAGAAGCTCAGACACAATGCTTCCGTTCAGGCAGGCACAGCAGGAATTTATTTACAATCCAAAAGTATTTCCAAAACTTAAATTCAGCTTAAATTCTCTGTCAAAATAAATTTACAATAAATTAAACAAAGATGTATCTCTGTATAAAACAGTTCCTTTTATGTATTCCCATATTTCCATAGCCTGGGTGCCATTCCGAACTTAGTCCCGCCCACAAGGTTTGAGGTCGGGAAGTTCGGTCTGGCATTGCTCCATAGTAGCGCGAGTATGATCGCCCACTCTCTGGCGATCCAATCAAATTGTTAGGGCGGGCTTTATACGATGATGGACAGATGATCAACAGTAACGTAATCAACCATGTGACCAAAGCGCGCTTGGGTGACAACAACAATGGCTGCCGCCGGAGAGTTGAGGTGTGTAGATTCTGCTATTAGGTCTGTTCTAGAAGATGTCGACAGCAAATTAATTTCAAAAGAGGAACAGAGAAACGCGATCAAGGCTCATCTTCTTATTATAGGCGTGCAACTGCACGCTTTGATTTTTGTTAACAACAACTATTTGTCGCTTAACATACGTCACGCACTCCGTTGCTCTTATTGGTTGTAGGTCTATCCAATTGAGTGCAGAGGCATTTTTTTTCCTGGTTCGTTCAAAACACGCCCCATAATCACAGCTCTATGGAGCAGTATCAGACTCATATTATGACTAGAATTGAGTAGGACTACGTCAGGCTAATATTTCCATGCTGTTTCTTATATTTTTAATAACAAATACCACACCACAAACAGATGGTTGGGCACTCTGCTGTTGATTCTTCTTCACTAATATTAAGCAGTTTATTTTTATGGTTGACGGACTGGGCATTTAAAATAAAAAATGTAAAGATTCTGGGAGAACTGAAAGGTTATAAATTGCTCCGGTTGAT